ATATTTATTGATTACCTAATTAAAAATAATCTACTGGCAATGTGGGAATTAGAAACGTAATGTAGGTGTTGGCTGTGGTATCCAAATTGTTTTCTTTTCGATTTCTGTGATAATGTTTTTAAAAAGGGGCAATTTTTTATTTTTACTTTTTCTACACATTACTTTTCTTTATGAGTCAAATTAAACTAAAGTGGTAAAGGATTAAACGAATGAATCAAAATAAATTATTTAAATTTATTGAGAGAGTTGAATAATAATAAGGATTTATTAATACAATGAAACTTTACAGCCGACGTTACAGGTACAAATGTGCAAATAAAAGTGGTATGATTATTCCTTTTTTACCAAAGCTGTTTTTAAAAGAGAGAGCGAGTTTCGGTTGTTATAAATTTGATATCGAATGATTGTTTATAAAACTACCGCCGGACTGACGACGCAAACAAACTAAACAGGTATCCTCCTAGAATTATCAGGTTCCCGAAAATTGTTGTTTATTTGTATTGGAAGCTGTTTGATTCGTAACATATTACTATTTTCTGTACTTAATATTAATTTTTACCCACTAATTAACTGGGTGTAAATTTTAGTTATTAACCTTTCGTTTTATTTATACAATGTGGCTACTGTCAACCATATTGGATTTTTATAGTTGGCGACTACTTTGTGACATATGTGTAATTAAAACGAAGCTGTTGAAATTAACAATTAAAAATATCTAAAATTATCTGATATACATGTAGTAACTACTATCCTAAATCCGAATTGCATATGCTTAATTTTTTGTTATAGTAGAAAGAAGAAAAGAGACAAAATTTGAACGATATTACAATTTTTTGCGTCACAGAGATACAAGCAGTACTATCATTACTTACTGATAAAAGTATTACATGGCACGTGTAATAAGGGAATAAGTACATTGGTTAAAAGAAAATAATTCCATATAAAATTTTAAAGTATTGTTATCTTTATAAGTATATAGTTGTGTTTATTACTCAATTGCATCAGTAATAATACAAAAATGCTTATGACAGGTAATATGTTTATAACAATTTAATTGAACTAGTTCGCCTTTTGAAGTACATAAACATATTTCTTTCATGTATTATCTTAGAGGACAAAAATGTTTATAATTTTATGTTCATCACAGGTGTTATAAAATTTTTTATTTCTAAAAATAATTGTAATAAAAGGAAGAGTACCTATCATAAATTAAAGTGCTTGGAAACCATGTACCTCATTAATACTGATAAAAAATGAATCCGTTTATAATGTGCAACGTTATCATTAGACAAATACGTGACACAGATTTCTTGTGATTATTTTACAAAGTTGTAAATTCGTTCACATTTTTATTTTAACATGATTTTTTTTATAAGCTGTTCCGTCCTTTTACTTTTTTGATGGAAACATATCCTTCGAATATTTTAAGAGGATTTTATTGTATCAGTATTATCTCTATTATTAGATACTATAACAGAAAAAAAAACTTTTCACAATTTTTTAGCAGGTAATCACTCGTATTTATATTGATATCAAATAGGCATGCACCACCTGGTTGCAAAACTTGTTACTTAAATGAAGGACAAATTTACAGTGCACGTAGATTGTAAAATTCTTTATTAAAAATACAAAATTCCGTAAACAAAACAGACAGTTTTTGTTAATGGAGTCAGACCAAAGTTTTCTCCTGTACGAAATCGAAAAAAAGTTCCTAATTTGTGCAATAAAAAAGGTTCAATATAGCTTTCGACATACGTGCAATTAACCTGTTTGTGTACCAGCTGTTACGAAGGTTACGAGTATATATGAGTGTGTCATCCCTAGACGTTTGCTACAACGAAGGGCGATGAGATAGCGCGACTGCCAAACTGGTAAAAAAAGGTTCAATATAGCTTTCGACATACGTGAATTAACCTGTTTGTGTACCAGCTGTTACGAAGGTTAGGAGTAGATATAAGTGTGTCGGGCTAAAAGCGCGGCTGCCAAATTGACAGAAGTTCTCAATCATTGAAGGCTCGTTAACTAGGATATTTTTTGCGCATATTTTTTACACCTCCTACTTTGTGGCGCTATCACGAGATGCACTCTACACTGCCTCCAAATCCTACCTTTCAAATATTCCTGAATACTAATCAGACATACTATAAGTATATGTAACATAGATTAATTGAGCGAAGATCTATGAATCAATTACTATTGTGCAATATAACCAAATCTATTATTAAAGAATTTTACCGCTTATATTTATGTGGCAGCTTAAACTAGAGTTGTAGGTAGATTCCCTAATAAGGCAATTTCATTTAATCAATCTCAAATCTCAAAATCAAATTTTACAATCTTTTATTTGTATTAACGATTCAGTAAAAAAAGCATTGCTGGCATTTTCATAAAAAATACAAAAGTTTGTAAGCTTCAAGCAAATTGTCTCTTACTTTCAAGCCAAGCACCTTCGATAAAAATCTCTGGCTGTACCTCATCAACATTTACCACATGGTTATTTACGAATTTTTTGGTATCATTGCAGCTTCTGGCGATATTGTCTTCATGTTTTAACAGTACCATTTTTTCTGTAAATAGCGTCAGTACATTATGTTCAGATTTTAATAAATACTTTTCGTATTGGTTGAGATAATTAATAATACTATTTTTGAAAATATTAATGGTGTAAGTGTACGTAATATCTACATGTTTATATGCATATGGATCTCAAAAATTCTTATAATTTCCTTTCTGTCCTTTTATTATAAATCGGGGTAACAAATAAATGATTTAACGTTACAAACGATACCTACAAACATTAGGTTTTAAGATAGAACGGTAGATTAATGTTTTAGAGGCGAAAAGTAGGTGTTGTTTGTGACATTGTCCCCGATTTGGCTTTGATTTCTTATAAATGCATTTCTCTTAAATTTACAGTCGACTAGCATAACCTGTCCAAATTTGGTTGGATGGTACCGTTGTAGATGATGCATAACATTTGACTACATATATCATAATCTATAGATTTTGCCGGAGGGTGTTTGGCTACAGCTAACTACCATATTACCACATGCTATCTACATGACCCTCACGACCGAATATTGACATGCAAACACGTCTAAAGATTGGTTATTTTTAACTGAAATCGTCAGTTTATTTCAAAATATCCAATCATCTGCTATTTCATTGTCAAGCGCTTCCTATTTCCTTTACAAACCTAAATCTTACCTGCGCTTGGAACCATGATACAGTATATCGTGACAGTTTATTAGTTTCTTTGATAAGTAGATTAATATTGATATTTTTTGAAATGGCTACCATTATTAGGTTTGTGTTAGACAGTTGTCCTGTTATAAAGCAGTTATTTGTGCATTGTTACATGTTTAATCATCGATGAGAGGGATGCCAGTAAAAATTAATTTTCAATTTATTACCCACCATAAACTATTTCAGGTTAGGTTAGGTTAGGTTAAGTTGATATCAAATAGGCATGTACCACCTGGTGGCAAAACTTGTTACTTGAATGAAACAAATTTACAATGAACGTAGGTCGTAAAATTGTTTATCTATATATATAAAAATGAATTGCTGTTCGTTAGTCACGCTAAAACTCGATAACGGCTGGACCGATTTGGCTAATTTTGGTCTTGAATTATTTGTGGAAGTCCAAGGAAGGTTTAAAAGGTAAATAAATATGAAAGTTGTTAACTATCTTTCAGATTATTTTTATGTAGATTGATAAATCTTAAGTTCTGTCAAATTAAATTTCTGAACGCAACCATAATATTTGACATTTGTCAACTAAGTTTATTTTATACAAAAATTTAGGTCTTTTATATATCGATTGGGGCAGTACGAAGTCTGCCGGGACAGCTAGTTAGAAATAAAACAGAAATTTTTTGTTAATGGACCAAAGTTTTCTCCTGTACGAAATCGAAAAAAAAGTTCCTAATATGTTCAACGAAAAAGGTTCAATATAGCTTTTGATATACGTGCAATTAACCTGTTTGTGTACCAGTTGTTACGAAGGTTACGAGTATATATGAGTGTGTCATCACTAGACGTTTGCTACAACGAAGGGCGATGAGATAGCGCTACTGCCAAATTGGTAATTGTTCTCTCTCTTTCATTTATGAAACACTCTGACATTTTTAATAGTGGTTAATATGAAATATTAATGTACAAATTCATTTTCAATTTATTACCCACTATAAACCACCTCAGAAAAATTTGTTGCTGTTGTCACACCTTCGCCGGGTATTGCACCTGGAACCTTTGGCTTTACACACTAATGCTCTGACCACCTCATTAACCTGAGGTAGTTTATAGTGGCTAAAAATTGAAAATTAATTTTCACATTAATATTTATAGAAACTATTTTGTTGAAAAGTGAAGATACATAGAACACGTGATCGGAATTTAATTTAAAACGTCATTTCTTACTTCTATCTGGAAATGTGGAATTTACTTAAAATATTTAATCTGTGTATTGGTGACAATAAGAATATTCTGGATGAAAATTTTATTTACGAATGGAAGTTAAAAAGAAGTGGAATTTTATAATACTATTAAATATTTACGAACGATAAAATAGTCGTTTCTATTTATTTTTCAAAACCAAATGATACAAGTAGGTACTACCTACTTGTGTATCACGTGACACTGTTGATTTTTGTTTTATTTGTTTCTAGATTTCTTGAAATGTAATACAAGAACAGAGTTTATAATTCAAAATTACTGAAGCTACTTACGTTATTGTATATCAGTCAAATAACTTTTGACCGAATTAATATTTACCTACATACATACACAGCACAGTCGTCAAAAACTTGGAACGCCAAGTGCCTTGCACTTTACATTTAACAGCGCATCTTGAAATTTACATGGGATTCCTTATTGTAATTTGATAAATTTATTATCATCTTGATAACGTGATCCTATAAGTAGTCCGATAGCAAACGAAATTAATCAGAGCTTATTGTAAATCAGCGTAGCGTATACGTATACCAGTACGTGTTTACGTACGCAACCTTATGTTTGTTTTTCTCTTTTCGTATTAATTCAAAAACGTTGACTAACCATAGACAATTGATATTAGGAGCAGAGATTAAATTCCAATAATTCAAATGCCCTGTAATTTCTTAGAAGTGTAACCCAGTTGTCCGCCTATTAAGAGTCCGCATCATCACTTCGAAAACGACGACGTCTAGCGTGCTTTGTTATTAAAGAAAATTAGTGTCAGAAAAAGTGCGTAACCAGTCGCTTCCAGTAGCACATTTAAAACGCATCAGCATCCGAGCGAACGAACGAAAGACCGGTGAAACTCGTCAGACAACGACCCTCTGTATAGAGGCTAGGTAGAGAAGGCCCAATCGACAACAATTGTTTCCCTCCAGTTCCTCGCTCCCCCCTCATGGCAGTTTATGCAGGCGACAGTGTTCAGTCCGCTCGTGGAGTGTAGAGTGAGGTGTACGAGGAACGTGGGGCCGTCTGTGCCAACATTAATTGGCCCTCTTTTCTTTTAAGTTAAAACAAATTGAGTCGTGTATTAGTGTAAAGTAATTGTTTAAATCATCCAACATGTTTGACGTTTTCGGCTCCGTTAAGGGGCTCCTCAAAATCGATCAAGTATGCATCGACAACAACGTTTTTCGACTACACTACAAAGCCACCGTTATCATACTCGTGGCGTTCTCTTTGCTGGTCACCAGCCGACAATATATCGGCGACCCTATCGACTGTATTGTCGACGAAATTCCTTTGAATGTAATGGACACCTACTGTTGGATTTACTCGACATTTACCATCCCGAACAGACTTACGGGTCGTATCGGACAAGATCTGGTACAACCAGGAGTTGCAAGTCACGTTGATGGCAAGGATGAAGTCAAATACCACAAGTACTACCAGTGGGTTTGTTTTGTCCTTTTCTTCCAGGCCATGCTTTTCTACATTCCTCGTTATCTTTGGAAGACCTGGGAAGGCGGAAGAATTAAAATGTTGGTACTCGATCTCAACTGTCCCATCGTCAGTGAAGATTGCAAAACCGATCGCAAAAAGCTTCTGGTGGATTACTTTACGAGTAATCTACACATGCAGAACTTCTACGCGGTTCGATTTTTTATATGTGAAGCGCTCAATTTCATCAACGTAGTTGGTCAAATTTTCTTCATGGATTTCTTCCTCGACGGTGAATTTAGCACCTACGGTAGCGAAGTCATTCATTTTACGGAAATGGAGCCAGAAGAACGGGTGGATCCAATGGCTAGAGTATTTCCAAAAGTTACAAAGTGCACTTTTCACAAATATGGTCCGTCCGGATCGGTGCAAAAGTTCGACGGTTTGTGCGTGTTGCCGTTGAACATCGTCAACGAGAAAATCTATGTGTTCCTATGGTTCTGGTTCATTATTCTCAGCATCCTGTCAGGCATCTCGTTAATTTACAGAGCGGCCGTTGTTATGGGTCCTAAGCTGAGGCTCTACCTTCTAAGGGCTCGTTCAAGGTTAGCAGCTAACGTCGAAATAGAAACAATAGCCAGGAAGTGCCAAATAGGAGACTGGTTTATTTTATGTCAACTGGCTAAGAATATCGACCCGCTGATATACAAAGAGATCATATCAGATTTAGCGAAAAAATTCGAGGGCAAGGAAAGTGTTTAGTCGCGGCAGATCTAATTTGATTAAATAATTGATGTTGGATAGTGTTTGTGTCTTTTGTGCTATAGTGGCATAGTAACGGACACAAGTTGATGGCGTGTTGACCAGGGGCCATTTGCGCGCCCATGTTCATACATAATAGGTACATATAAATGTATGGATGTTGAAATGCTCACTTTCATTCCGAACAAAGCAAAATTTAGGTTAAGGGACCAAACGTTCTGTGATTGCAGGAGCAAAAGACTGTAGAAAAGCATGGCCAACTTTGTAGTATGGCTGTGATAAATTATTTGCGCGTACAATATGGTGAAACTCGTTTTTATTATTGTGTAGTAATTTTTGCGATTATTATTATCGATCATTCCAAGGTCTCTTATTACTCTTTTTTTTTATTTTTTTATTACGCATACGCATGTGTATTGTCAAATTCCATTTATCTTACGATTAGTGTAATTTGTGTAGATAAAACTGCCAAACGTTTCAATTTTCGATGCAATTTTTAACAAGCTCTAGGATAATTAATTATATGCAGGCTCACTCATATTTCGGAGGCCGTTCTGGAACAACGCTTGCTATACATCGGGACCACTCTAACAGTAAATAAAGCTACTACGTTAAATTATGATTGCGTTTTTTAAACATTCGACGATCCCTATATTTATTGTCTGAACATACGAATTTTCATTTTAAACGCATATGCTTCATTACCCTTTTACTATTGGAAGAGGCAGTTTTTAATCGTTCTTAGTAGTAATTCATTGTTGTACGTAGTAGATGTATTCTGTCGGTGTGGTCCTACTTCCGCTAGGTTTCTTTTGCTTATAAGATTAGCCTCGAGCGGATTTATCATTTAGTTCCGGAACGTATTCTCTGTGATAGATCTGACATTCTTAGGTGAAATAATAAAATACATTCTAACTATGTTATTGTGTTTTATACATTATGCAATGTGATGTGTAGTTTAAGAGTATGTATACATATATATATTATGATGTATGTATATGCATATTGGTATGTTAACGACGCGGTTTAAAAGTTTTGATAATTGAAAATAATATATTGACGACGACGACGACGACGGATGACGGGCTTTTCTTGCCTAGGTATATTATTATTATTATTATTATAATAGTAATTTTACATCAGTAATAAACCGTCAGTGCCTTAATATAATTTATAACATAATTACAAAATACAGATTATAATTTTGCATGGTAATTTATCTCGGGGTACCAACAATAATTGTGAATCTTCTGCCGCTATACATGCTGTCTTATCTTCTCTTATGCAATAAAGATATATTTTATCAGCCGTTGTTCTGGTTATTTACTAATTGTCAGCGATAATGAAACGTTAATAATGATTAATTTTTGTTGTATGGTGTAGTCATTATTGATTTTTAATTGATACTAACTTTCCCATCTTCCCTTAAAATCACACAATTATCTTTAATAAATGGTTCAGGGAATCAGTACACAAATACGATTTAATTTAATTGGTTGTTGTACCTACAAATGCTTCAGCTCTATTCTGATTAAAACTAATAAATGAATCAGAAAACTATACCTAGATCTTAATCCTTTTCTTACAAAATCCGTAAATTGTTTTTGGTTTACAAGCTATGACGACGTTATCTACTGATACGAATAATTATGTGGGTAGGTAAAAATGACGCATCATAACAGTTTAATAAGTATTTTTTTTATTGTTACATGTGTTTATCTTTATAATCCATAACATCTGGTATCTCCTGTTGTTAAAAGTCAAACCACAGTATTGTTTTGGTACTTAAAATATTGACGTTAAATACCAATAGAGGAAAGTAGCGTAATGTTGGATAGTTTTCTATATTCAAATTTTTATGTGTGAATAAAACACTAATAATTTTATAAGATTTTACCTTAATAAAACATGATACGTATACATAAATCTATATTTCAATCGTAAAGGAATAAAAAGTAATCGGAAGTAGAATAAGTCACTTCCTAATTCAAAAAAAGTGTCTCTTAAATTGGATACCTTATCCAAATTTGGGGACCTATATTTCAATGCAATAATCACGAAGATTTAATTTTTGCTACTACCAGATAATGTTCTCTTACCAAATACGTTTCAATACGGATATTTAATTACATTTATGTTTTAGGTTATGTGATCAAAACAAAAAAAATCCCTGATAGTAACTTTTGTTTCAATTACACATATTCTACAACTATTCTAGAGCATTCTCTATAGTTTAAGTGTTTGAGACGTTTCGCCAGCTTGGTCTGTTGACCTTTTCAGGCTATACAAAATATAAAATAATTCGAATCGTGTAACCCAAAATCATTTTTAACTCGAACATTTCTTAATCCCTTAATATATAATACTAATTATAATTAATTCCAAACTCTTTAACTCAAATGTCTCCATTTTTCTAACTCTGAACATTTCAGAATTTCTTCAGAAAAATCAGCCGCAACGATTATCAATGTCTCGAGCTTTTAAGCAAAACTGATCTACTTATCACCGTAAATTTTTTATCCCTGCTGCACTCAACATCAGTAATATATTGTGGAAAGCAGTAAAAAAGCAGTTAGGATAGGATCAAAGGGTTGCCTTAGAAAAATACAACACGAACGAAGTACTTACATTGTCTAATATTGTGATCTGAGAGAATAATGTAATTATCGGTGGGCATAACAATAGTAGAAAAAGAAAAGTGTGTCGTATTTTCTCTAACAGGGATATAACTACAGTGGATTTCGGGTATAACGACGACGAAGGGACCACTGTAATTTCGTCGTTAGGTCCGGAAATCGTTACAGGCAAAGGTATAGAGATACAGACACGTATATATATTTTTCACCTTGTATTTTCAAGTCCTTACACTTATCTTTTATAATTGTAAAAAAATCAAGTCAGGCAAGGGTAAAAGGTTTTTATTGGTGTGAAACCAACAAACCAATGTAATGCGCTCAGTTATAAAGTATTCTCAGGGCTACAATACAAAAGAAGTTTAAATAGTTGAACAATAACTGTAAAAATTCAACTCGTTTATGTTTCTTAGTTAAATAGCGTATAATCTTGCATATTTTATAAATGACAGATCTTGGATATTCAGGTCCTGATACGTAAGTTTTATGGGTGCCCCTTTTCATTAAAACAACAAAAGATAAACTATAAAATTCCTAATAACGCGTCATTTTGCAATTTTCACAAGAAATAGAAAGTGGTATTTGCGGGAGTC